ATTTAACTAAATAGCAAAACAGTTTTATGGAAATGGAAAAATTTAATATGAGAGACTATAGTTAACAGAGTTGGTGGATACTCTTACTTCGTTACTTTATTTATCTTGGACAAAATCCAAGATAAAAACAAAAGAAAGATATTTTTAGTTAAATTATCCAATTTTAAGTTACAATTGTACACTTATCAATTAGACAATTATATTGAACTATTTAAGAATAACCTAATGTAGTCCAACCTGGCTTTATTTATGCCCAGGCTGTATAATTTGCATAATGCTTGTGTATGGGCAAAAATTGCATAAAATTTTTTAATTATTTAGAGTTTTTTTTTAATACTATACTAATATTAATTAACTCAAAATTGCATATACAGTGATATATACAGAGATGTAAGTGTTGGATGTATACAGAGATGTAAGTGGTGGATATATACAGTGGTGTAAGTGGTGGATATATACAATGGTGTAAGTGGTGGATATATACAGTGGTGTAAGTGGTGGATATATACAGTGGTGTAAGTGGTGGAAATATACAGTGGTGTAAGTGGTGGATACATACAGTGGTGTAAGTGGTGGATATATACAGCGGTGTAAGAAATATTCGAATCATCTAAAAATATTAGAATCATTTACTTTACTTCTCGATTTGGACCACGTCTGTTTTAGTTTTTAAAATTAATACATGAAACAAAACAAAATTTTACATTGGTTGCTTGTGAAAAGTTTAATAAAATATAAGATTTCAGTCTGTTTATTAAAACTTTTGAATTTCAGAGCAAACTTGCGTAATTTAAACACTTTTACAAATATTCACCAACTTGGTATTTTGGTTGCTATTTTGACATATTTTATACTTGTTAATAACTGTGGAGAAGTATTTCTGCACCTAGTAGCATAAAGACACTGTGCGCATTTTTTATTTATATTTTGTGATAAACACTTCTATAGGCAACGCTACTTCCCCAATAAATGTATATTTTAAATGTTTTAGAGCTGAAGGTAAAATCTAATGCATTTTATTTAGAACGCTTTCATAATACTTTATATAGGATTAAAATTAATTCTAATTTTCCTATCAAATTATTGAACATAATAGTACAAAACTTTTATTTAGGGCATAATTAGTTTAGTGCCTGGAAGTAAAAGAATTGCCAACAAAAAGCTTCATTAGGAAAATAAATGACATCAAGGTTTTTAACCGTTGTTTAAATTACTATCTTGCTTTTTTGCTTACATTTTCTTATATGCAGTATATACTGCATATAAGAAAATTTAAGCAAAAAATACATCTTTAAAAAGACGGATATATTAAAAAAAGCAATATATATATATATATATATATATATATATATATATATATATATATATATATATATATATATATATATATATATATATATATATATATATATATATATGTATATATATATATATATATATATATATATATATATATATATATATATATATATATATATATATATATATATATATATATATATATATATATATATGTATATCAAAAAAAAAAAAGTTTAAAATCGCATCTAAAATTCCATATGAAAAAAGGGTAACAAGAGGTAAACCAGATATCTCCAAATCGTTCAAAAGTTAAATTAAAGATATCCAAAATCTTTTGCTTTATATAGGAGCGCTGTTTACAACTATTTGCATAATAAACAATAAAATTTCTTTTACCAAAAATAATAGTTGTTTATCATTTTTAAAATGGGTCGTTTTTTAAGCAAGAAGATCCGGTTGCGATCCCCACCGCATTGCTAATATTATTACGCTCAACTTTTTTTTTCGCGCAGCGGACACGTGATTTGCGACTGGTTGTTTTTAAAACCAAAGGGTTTTAAAAACTACCAGTCCTAAACCACGTGATGTAATAAAACTTTATTCTTGCGTTTTCCACAATGAAATCACAATTTACTATTTTTTATAGTTTAAAATAAAATTAAAGATAAAAATGCGGCAAGATCATGTATTTTACAAATACAGTCCTTAATGTATTTAATTAAAGATTAGGACCACTAAGTGAATTTATGCGATCCGTATTATGTAATATACATATGTGCCACACTGAACATCAGTTTATGTATTCATCATAAACTTTATTAGAAACTTACACTTTTATTATAATATTTTATTTCACTTGAGCAGAACTTGTCCACAAATTTAATTTTTATTTGTTACTTCATCAATATATTCGCGTATTACTGCTTATATAATAACGGATTTTTTTGTAAATTTTAGTATTTTATTTCTAGGAGGTTATCATTTGTACGCTCGTAAAAATAATGTTTAAATACTAAAAACCTTATTAGTACGCAAAAATATGCTTAAACTCATTAATTTCAATATTTGTGTCGGGTAGCCTACTTAAAACTTAAAAAATATTTAAATGACAAATTGATATCAAATCTTTGCAATGAAAACCATTTTTAAAGAAAAAGATTTTCCTAAAGTTGCCTAAAACTGCTGCTGCAATTGCCAATCGAAACCTTTACTTCCATATCTATCAGCAAAACAGTACTCCAGAAAACAAACGTTTATTACTGCTAGAAATCATTGTAAAAAGGTTTTGTGTAACGCCAAAGCCTACTATTATCAGGTCATGAAATCTCGTATTTCATCACAAAAACGAGGCTCTTGTGACTTCTGGAGAATCTTTAATAGTATCGATAATAAAAGCAAATCTGCAATTCCACCTCTCTTGTATGGTTCAGAGTTTGTCACCTCACCTAAAAGCAAAGCTGAATTGTTTGCTAAGAACTTTTCATCAATATCATCATTTGATTCCACTAGTTGCGTTCTACCTGATATAGCCGTCAAACAGATTGATCCATTGCTTGACATTCGTATTACTTCAGTTTCTGTATCTAAAGTGATTTCTTGCTTAGACTCTTCTACAGCTTGTGGCCCGGACAACAT